TTAACTCTGTGGGAAAAGGGTTGTAGGGTAGAAAATAAGAAATCATAGAGTAGTCAGGAGTAAGGGCCATTTTATCTCTTTTAAAGTTGTACAATATATATATATATATATATATATATATATATATATATATATATACAGTGTAACCCGGATATATGAGAGTTGTCGAGACCGGAGAAGTCTCTTATATCCGGGTTTCTCTTATATCCGGGTTTTATCTATTTTATATACATTAACACAGGCTCTAATTTGGGACCAGAGAAAATCTGTCTTATATCCGGGTTTCTCTTATATCCGGGTTTCTCTTATATCCGGGTCTCTTATATCCGGGTTACACTGTATATATATATATATATATATATATATATATATATATAGATAGGAAAAGATAATAAGAAGGCATTTTTAAAAGCAAAAGCCAAAATAAAACTACCGGTTTCGTCCCAGGACTTATCAAGTTATTTATTCTGGGAATTTAAAAGCGTGTAAATTAATTTTAATTAACGAATGTAATTAAATGGGGAGAGAGAAAAAAAAATATGAATTTCAAGGGACTAGAGTCCAATAATATTCAGACCCAGCAAGCATTCCCTCTGTTTACAAAGTGTAGGCTCACGAGATCTGATATACAAGGACTCCAGGACCTTGAGGTGAAATGTGGAGTGGGACCTCGATAAAATAATAGATCGGTCACCACTAAAATTTTCCACACATTTCCTTCTATTTATCAAATGTTCAGCAATAGCAGAACCAGAATTGTTAGTCAATTGGCTATTCCTAGAGGACGGATTCAAAATCCTGGAGGGTAAATGCTGTTTTATTCTCGAATCCAAACGCTGGGAACTCCTACCTATGTAGTCATGTCCACAACTACACTTGTATTGGTAAATCACTGAATTAACATGATGGGCAGGTAGTACATCCTTACGAATGGAAGAGAAAGCAGGACGGGTACCAAATATTACCCTAACATTTGCCGAAACATAACAACTATTGATTAAACGTAAAATACGTTTCGATAAACTCTCACCCTCTGTACCAATATAGGGAAGACGCAAATAAACTGGGCATTTATCAGCTAATTGCGGCTTCACCCTATGGAATTTACTGATGACATCTTGAATAACGGAGTCTAAAACATCCAACGGATATCCGTTTTTTGATAGTGTCATTCTAACAAAGTCAATTTCCCCGTAGAGAAAACCCTCAGAACATAACTTAAGTGCCCTGTGAATTAAGGACTTAATTAAATTAATCTTACGTTGACTGGGACAAAAAGAGTCCCAACGCGTGAGAAAGTTTGAGACTTCTGTATTTAGGAAGGCCACTTTCTCGGGACTTTACAGTGTCGACTCCAGAGAACAGGCTTACCGGATTTAGCCCGTGTGTGTCAACATTCAAGTATATCTATTTCAAAGCAACAAAAATCTTTCGTTGCGCGTCATTTTTATTCTTGGCTTCAGCTGTCTCCAAAATTAATTGTTTTAACTCCGTGCCTAAAAACATTGACCGAAATACATTTCGTTGATATTGTTCAAAATAAAGAAGAAAGCAAAAAGAAAGTAAAAAAAAATAAATTAAAATTAAAGTGGTTAGTCGGGCTGCGTAGATGTGAACCTTTTCAAACTGGCGACATACTTAATAGGCAATGTAAATAATAGGCAAATGCTTTGATTTTATGAATAATCTTTCTTAAATTTCTAATGATTGTATGCTCATTTTTTTTCAAAGAACATATTTTTATTTAAACATATTTAAACTTATTGTTTTCAAATTTCCATTTTAAATAATTTACTCCGTGGAGTATAAAGATTTTTATTGAAAAGTATCAAATTGAAAATTCGGGCCAATGAAATTTAGCTCGGCGAAAATCAAAGATAGTGGCAGCCTTAATTCGTCAACTGAAGAGTTGTTTGTGAGGAGTGTGACTGGGGTAGTGTTGAGGACAAATTATGTCAGTCATCAGTAGTTAAAACAATAAATAAAACAAAAATATTCACAGATAGAGAAATAGATAAAAAAATCACGCATGGCCATACATGCAAACACAAACTCGTGGTATTAATTTTTCTTACATGTCTGGAATTTTTTTTAAATAAATGTTTATTTTTATAGGATTATTACAATTAATATTAAAATACCAAAATGTGTTTTTTTAAGTTTCACGCAAAGAGATTTTTAACAATTATATATTTTAGCTAAAGCAAAAGCATCATTTAACATATATCAATAGCATATTTTATTAAATATTATAAAGAGCACGCCAAACATTGATGGTCTAAAGTCACCACTTTTAGACTTTATATATATATATATATATATATATATGATTGAATAAATTACAGACATTAGATCTGTTAATTGTTAACAAAATCCGTTCATATTCACGAATAATCTTCCTTGTATTGATGTTAAACAATGAGAGAAATGTGCTATAGATATTTAAATTTCTTTTATTTTTGTTTCTCAAGTACTTTCGATGTTCCTCCAAGAAATTTTCTCTAATCAACAACACAACTATCTTACACCATAGAAACAACAAACTTAGATTACAGATACTAGAAGCAATTTCTATTTAAAATTTAAAGAAAAAAAAGGATGTGTTGTGGAGAATATAGACTAGAAAAATGGCTGTCGCAAATTGAGACTTTTTAAGCAAAAAGAAAATTAAATGAATTTTAATCTGAGAAAAGAGTTCCCTCTTTCTTTCTTTCTTTCTCTCTCTGTATATATATATATATATATATATATATATATATATATATATAAAATAGAAACTAAAATGATACATATGACACACCTCATATCCTCTCCCCACCTCACTTCCTCACTTCGTTAACTTTACGTATACTTGATGAGGTCCGTAAAAAACGTGTGAATTTCTTTTCATTTTTCATTTCAGCTTTTGGAAGTAAAGTCTGATGATCCAGAACCCTGTTAAAGGGTTATGGTGAAATAGCTTATTACATGAATCTTAACGTGGTCTGTCTTTATTCAAACATATATATATATATATATATATATATATATATATATATATATATATATATATATCACTATCGCTTTTTTGCTTTATAAATCTTCGTACATCTGTTTGCAAATCTGATATAGCAGGTTTCCTTTGATGGCCCGACTTCGATCTGCATCTTCGGTTTCATTTGACGTTTACGATTCCATTGTAGCATTTTTTTTTTTTGCTATTTTCAATTTTGCTTCGCAATTTCATCTGATTTTCTTTCTCTGTTGCAACTTGTTTTTATTCTATTAAGTTTTCATTCTTTATTTCTTTAAAAGCTGTTCGATTTAATGAAGAATAAAATTCTTTCCCTTTTCGTTCTTTCAGTCATTCCTTCTCGTTGATGAGTTCGTCTTTTCCTCCATGTACCACACCCTTTTATCTATCCATTCATTTTTTTCAAAATTACTTTGTTAAACATTCAAACTCTCTTGAATGTTATCAGATAGAGCAATTAAAAGCTACCTGGGATGCGGTTCGTGTCACGCTGAGAACTTTTATATTTCAAACGGGGCCCATCTAACATTACTGGGGTATACACTCACACACACACAGACACACACAGACACAGACACAGACACACACACACACACACAATAATAGCAAATTAGGGGTCTACGGTAATGTTTTAGTGGACCATAGGGCAAATTTATTTCGGAACGGTTTTTACAAATGATAACTGGATTTTCTACGCCATCCTAAAGTATTAAAATAGAAAAAAACAAACAACTGTAAAACTAGCAGAAAACGACATCAAGCGATGTAAGTTTTAGCGTCTCTTTTACTCTAACGGATGTATTGATTGTAAAAGTTGAATAGCAACTGAGATGGATAACATATATAATAGAAAATTATATATATATATAAATTAATACTAAATAATAATAATATTAAATTTAAATATTAATGAAATAAAATAAAATATTAATATAAATCAATTAATATGTAATATAAAAATATATTAAGAATACAATTAAATTAATATATAAAGGTTAAAATGTAAAGGAATGTTTAACCTCTTCAGCAGTAGGGGCAATATTCGGCAAACCCTCCACTCTAAGGGCCTCATACTTGTGTACATAAATGTCCCATAGAATTTAGTTATTAAATACATGTTTATTTTCATTAAATTAGTTTTACTTCAAAATATAGCATATACATTTCAGTCAGTTATGTGTCAAGCGTGATACACGCTTAGGTGATCATGTATCTTTCGATACATGACGAGGTAATTTTTGCCATTTTTTTCTGCGGTAGCAAGTTGTCGGACTCTCCTGCTATTTACCCATAGCTGGGGGGAGAAGAAGAAGATTCATACCTTTCCCAAGGGTATTAGCATGTAAGTGGATTCAACGGATTCAAGTGGAATTCGAACTCGGCTCTCCGATTTCTCAATCCGAGCCATTACTCCACCGTGCCTATATATTTACTATTTTTATAATGCAATACTTAAACTTATCTATTAGTAAAAAATAAAATCAGCTTTTTCCATCGAATGTTTATGGGTGCTCACCATAATAATGAAGAGTAAAAGTGGCCTATGGGTAAAAAAAATGGTTGAGAGCCACTGCTTTAGAGCCTAATATGTTTATAGTTTGAAGGACAAGAAATAGATTCATGCTTTTCCAAAGAGAATTTGAACTCGTCACAGCAATTCGATTTTGCAATGTGTTATCGTGCCTGCAATGCCAAAATAAACATAATAACCTGGTACAATGTCATCCTCACTGCATAAGTAGATGGGTTTGGTATTTTTTTTCTTGTTTACCACCGTATTTCAGCAGTATTTCGTAACTGCCATGCTTTTAAAATTATTTGCCAGGTTTGTACTTTAAGCATTGCTTCACAGAATTTTCTGACACAAGAAACCAACCGTGCAACATCAAATGAAAATCAACTGCCACAGTTGTAAATCCTGTTAACCATTGCTTCATGGTAAGGTAACATAGTTGTTTAATTTTGCACAAAGAAACTAACGTGGGTCATGAGAGTGAAGAACTCTCGTCTAATGCGCTCCTTGTTAAATCTTTTATGTCAAGGCGTTGGCATTTCTGCTTTTATGCAAATTCAATATTTCTTCGTTTCTTCTTTTTGTCCGCTGTTCGTATTATTTTTCATTCTAAATAGTATTTGTTTTTATTCTTTCTTTTCTTCTCACTTCTCTTAGTTTTCCTTCCGTCTCTTGCTTCTTCATCGCTTATGTCATCCGTTTCTTTCTTTGATGTACTTTTTTATTGGGTTTCATTTGTCGTCATTTCTTTTGCATTTGTTTGGTCTTTCTTTCGTTTTATTGGATCTGTTTTTTCTTCTTCTGGGTCTTTATTTCATTTCTTTTCGAGTTCTTCCTTCAAGCACCTTTTTTTAATTTTTTTTTTTTCATTTCCTCTTCTACTTCGTTTTTGGTTCATCATATTGGTTCTTATTTTTTTTCTTTTTTTCATTCTTTCTATCAATTTCCATTTTCTTCATTTAGTACATTGTTTCTTTTCAAATTCTTTTTCTGATTTATTGGATCTTTCCGACATTCTTTTTCTTTCCTTCTTTCTTTCTTTCTTTTTATTTCTTTTTCTTTCTTTCTTTTTTCTTTCTTTTTTTCTTTCTTTTTATTTCTTTCTTTCTTACTTTTTCTTTCTTTTTCTTTTTTCTTTTTCTTTCTTTCTTTTTTCCTTACTTTTTCTTTCTTACTTTTTTCTTTCTTTCTCATTTTCGATATAATTTTTCTTTTCCTTCTTTCTTTCTTTCTTTCTTTCTTTTTCTCTTTTCTTTTCCTTTCTTTCTTACTTTTTCTTTATTTCTTTTCTCTTTTTCTTTCTTTCTTTCTTTCTTTTTTATTTCTTTTTCCTTCTTTCTTTTTACTTTATTTCTTTTTCTTTCTTCTTTCTTTTTTCTTACTTTTTCTTTATTTCTTTTTTCTTTCTTTCTCATTTTCGAGATAATTTTTCTTTTCTTTTCTTCTTTCTTTCTTTCTTTCTTTCTTTCTTACTTTTTCTTTCTTTCTTTTTTCTTTCTTTTTTCTTTCTTTCTTACTTTTTCTTTTTTTTTATACTTTTTCTTTCTGTCTGTCTTTTTTCTTTCTTTTTCTTTCTTTCTTTCTTCTTTCTTTCTTTTTTCTTACTTTTTATTTATTTCTTTTTTCTTTCTTTCTTATTTTCAATATAATTTTTCTTTTCCTTCCTTCTTTCTTTCTTTCTTTCTTTCTTTCTTTCTTTCTTTCTTTCTTCACCTTTCCGTTATCGTATTATCTTTTTTCCTTCTAATTATCATTTTTTTTAAATCCAAAGTTGTTTTTAATATTGTTTTGTTGGAATATTTATAAGATCATTTTTTTTTATTTGTTCATTTCAATGCATTTATTTCTTTTCGACTTCTAACTTCTCTTTATTCTTTATTTCATTCTTTCTTTTCTTTTTAATTTTCACTTTTATAATTGTTCTCAAGTCTTTTCCTCCACCTTTATTTTTACTTTCTTTCATCGAATTTTCTTGAATAAATTATTTCAATTCCTCTTTCTTTCGTCATTCTTTATTCAGCTGTTCCTTTTCTAAAACTTTTCCTTCCTTTTTTCTTTCTTTCCTTTCCTCTCCCTCATTTGATTCTGTTCCTTCTCTCTTCCTTTAAACATCCCCTCTCTCTAATATCACTCTAGCTTTCCTTTTTCTAAATATTCCTTACAGTGGCTCATCGACTCTTTTCACCTTTAGCTCTTTTTGAACGAAGAACGTCAATTAAATCATTATACATATATATATATATTCTTTCATCTTCTTCCTCCTATCACTGAAAGTATTTCAAATATTTCGTTATGCCTCTCGCTTTTTATTTCCAACGTACTGTTCTTTTCATATCCCATTCTCTTTATATTTAAATCGCATCAAATGTCTCAACTTTCATCTCGCATTCAATTTATGTATCTCATTCAAGTTATTTTTGCCTACACAAATTTCTCCGACATTTCCCAATAATCTATGGCAGATAGTTTTGTCTTATTCCTGTTGTAACATTCGAGACGACCGTAACTTGGAGATATTTTAAATTTCTTACTGCTATTTGTACTTATCAAGGTCGTGATGGCAACTTCAAAAGTTCCACACTTACTGTTTTGTGCTAAACACTAAAATACGTGTGCGAGTATCTATCTATCTATCTATCTATCTATCTATCTATCTATCTATCTATCTATGTTTGTTCATTATTTATCCATGTTTGTTCATTATCTATCGATGTTAGTTTGTTCATTATCTATCTATCTATCTATCTATCTATCTATCTATCTATCTATCTATCTATCTATCTATGCTAGCTTGTTCATTATCTATCTATCTATCTATCTATCTATCTATCTATCTATCTATCTATCTATCTATGCTAGTTTGTTCATTATCTACCTATGTATCTACCCTATCTATCTATCTATCTATCTATCTATGCTAGTTTGTTCATTATCTATCTATCTAGCTAGCTAGCTAGCTAGCTATCTATCATTC